GCTGTCTCTTTTTCTCTCTATGGGTCTTTGCTTCAACAACTTAGTCCAACCCTATAGTTTTAGCTATGACGGTTGGACAAAGAATGACTGCATTTCTCTTAGTACTAACCTTCCTGCAGACTCAGGTCCATGTGCCTGCTGGACACCCCACCAGAGACCTGGCCTCCTTCCTTGCCCTTTATGTCCCAGTGCTAGTGATTTTATTTCTGCAGAGCCTTTTGTGGCTAACTCTGGCTCCCATCCTTATTTACAATTCAAATGAATCATGCCTGGTCTATTACGCAGGCTCCCAACTGGTCTTCCTGTACTCTGCGAGTCCGAGTCCGGGTGACTTACAGTATGCTTTGCCAACTGCTTCTGATCATTAAAATGACCATACGTCTACCCTACTTATCTCTCATTTCACTTCCTGTTTTTAGAAAGATGTGTTTTTCTATATTTTTATGTTTTCTAAAGATAATTGTGTGCTGAATTTGTGATCAGAAACACACTAACTGAGCCCCATTCTCCCAAGCCTCAGTCAGACTTCTTTTTAAAGCATAAAGAAATAGAGATGAGGTGAGCAACTCCCACCTTGGGGCCCTTGGCTAGGGGAAGGAGAGGCTGGGTGTGGTTAGGAAGGGATAGGCTGAGTGCTGCACACGCAGGAGGACGTCCTGCAGAGAGGAAAGCACTCTGCCCACAGTACCTGTCAGCTAGCATAGGCGCTGAGCCCTCTGCAGCCACCTCCCAGAACCTCAATTCCTCCCCAGCCTTCAGGCCCAATCCAAATGCTCCGTCCACCACAAAGCCTTTCCTAGTCTCCCAGATTCATCTTGCTCCCCACTCTGAATCCTTGGATTAATAACACTTCTTACACCCTATCTTGGGTTTCAGTTGTTGGTTTTTCTTTGGGGAGCCTGTGGCCTCAAAGTCACATGTGGCCCTCAGATCCCCAAGTGTGGCCCCTTCACTGAATCCAAGCCTCACCAAACAAATACTGTTACTAAGAGGATTTGTTCTGTAAAATTTGTTTTTAGTCAAAAGTTCACACTCAAGGATCCAGAAGGCCACAGGTTGCCCAGCCTTTAGCTCACAGAATTATATGATTCCCCTGAGTCCTGGCTCAGGGTGGTATCCCTAGACAAATTTTGAGGGCTGCAGCTAGGTGGGACACAAGACACATAACCCATGGTTGGCCTTTTGAATGGGAAGTTTGGTGCTTTCATAGTAACTGTGAATGTCTTCAGCAAACTCATTTGTACTTTTGTTGGGGTTAATTTCAATCACTGGTACTTTGAGGCTAGTGTAAAGGGCAGGAGAGGGTCATCTAGCTAGCTCAATTCTGCTCCTTCACTCATTCACTCAACAATTACCGAGAGCCTTCTCTGGGCGAGGCCCTGTCCTAAGGCCTGGGCATACAATGATGGACAAGACAGACATAGCCCTGACCTTATGGAGTTACGTTCTGAGGAGGAGGAAAGAGACAAGAAAACAAACTACAACTTTAGCCTGAGAGAGGTGTCATGAAGAAATGAATCAGGCTGCAGAGACAAAGCATAATGGAAAAATACTTTAAATGGAGGGTCTAAGTAAGGCCTTGTAGTGACATTCATGTCACTGATCTAAAGGATGAGATGGTGCCATCTAGGCAACGGGCCAGGGAAGGGACTTCCAGGTACAAAGGCTGAGGTGGAGAAGAGCTGCGTATGCTCAAGGAGCTTTCAGAAGGCCACTGTGGAGGACAGCAAGCTGGGCAGTGGAGGGGCAGCGAGAGGCTGGAGTCAGATAATGCAGATAGCCCTTTTGGAGATGGAGTTTGATGTTCCCAATGGTTACAGGGCACTGATAAGAGACCCTAACTGAGGACTTAGCATCTGATCTCTCTGTAGCTCTGTTCTCTGCTTACGGCTTGCACAAGCAGTGATACTTAGGAAGGGATGAAAACATTGTTCATTTATGGAAAATGATGGTTTTCATGAAGGAGATAAAGCAAAACCAATGAAGCTTAAGAAAGTGATGGTTC